AAAGTCTCTGAGTTCAAACTCCAGAATGAGAGAGAGAAAAAGAGAGAGAGAATTTTTTAATAATAAAATTTGATAAAATAAAAGAGTCATTTAAAGCAACTACTGTATGCACTAAGATTGTTGATGACTAAGAATTGGTGGTGATGATTTTAAACGAAAAACAGAATTGTATTTTTATGGTCCATCTGCTTCATTAACTTCATCACTGCTAGAGGTCACACAATGGGTAGCAATAGCCAGAATTCTATATCAGAATAAGGCACTTGGAATCCCTAAAAAGATAACTTAAAATTCTCCAAGTTTCTGTGTCTTCATTTGCAAAACTGAACATTTTTTGTGAGAACAAATTATAGCACCTTGCTCATATTGGAAGTCAACATTTCTTATTTCAAATTCTTCTTGAGAAAGTTGTGTTGCACTTTCAATGGAAATAAAAGATAAGGTAATGGCAGGTAAGTAAGTGAGCGGTATTTATTTCAAATATAGAGGTACTCCCATTTCTCATATACTACACTCATTCATACATACCCAAAGGCTAGAGGGTATTTGTGATCAACTACAAAAAGCAAATTCTTTGCTGCTCATTCCATCAAAAAAACACAATCCATTAGCTCACCTTTTGATTTGAGCTACTACTGTGACTTGCTTTGACTAATAGAATGTGGCAGAAGTGATGTTGTCAGTTCTAAGTTTAAGTTCAAAAGACCCCCAGGTTCTGTCTTCCATCACCTTGTGATTAAGCCTCAGCCATCCTGATGGATGATACACCCCCATGGAGAGAGGCCCAGCAGTCCCAGCTGAACTAGTTCATGTCACAGACATGTGAGGGAGCCCACCTAAGAATAGCTGGCTAGCCCAGAGCATAAAGACTGCTCAGGTGCACCTAGAACAATTTTCTGTTCTATAAAAGTAATGAGAAAATACTAAACCCTTACATGAAATCATTAAGTTTTGGAGCAGCTTGTTACATAGAAAAATCTGAATAATACAAAAGACTTCAAAAAAATTCTATTTCCCAGCAGCAGTGTCTATGCTTCTGTGACTCACAGCCTCCCAAAGGCCTTGTCACGGGGATAAGGATAAGGGTTAAGTGAATGAAGAAGAAGTTGCAGGCTGCCTGGGCCTAGGTGTGAAGTTATTATTGTTATTATCATTATTAACATTGTGTCATTATATAGTATCTATTTTTTAATACCTGCTTGCTATGTGGCAGACACTGAACTAATTTAAACTTTGTAACTTGTGCTTTTTTATAACCTCATTTCATTATATTAACAGCCATGCAATAGTTTTCATCACATTTTATAGAAAAGAATCCTAAGGCTCAAATATTTTGAATGTTTTTCCCCAGATGATAAAGTCAAAAACAGAGACTGGGAGCCTGGCACAAGTAGTAGAGCACCTGCCTAACAAGTACAAGGCCTTAAGTTCAAACTCCAGGACCATCAAAAAAAATTAAAAACAGTATTGAATGATTATGTATTTTATTATAAAGTCCATCAAAGTGAAGTTTATTCATAAGGTTTTAGAAGGCTCTCTAGTATAAGACAGAAACTGTGGGGTCTCTTGAACTTAAAATTATGACCATATGACTATTATTAGTCAAAGCAAATCACAGTAATAGCTCAAATCAAGAGGTGGGGCAACAGACTGAATTTCTTGATTTTTACTTTGGTTCTTTGGACTATTATTGTGTGAAGCACATTTAACTACTGCCAGATGGTAGAAGTTATGGCCTTTATAGCAAAAATTTGAAATGCATAATAATTATGGCTACATAAGAACAAAATAGTTAAAAAGCAGAAGTAAAAAATTGGAAAATTCTCAGAGTCTAAGAGAGTGTAATAAATATTCATTAGGATCAACATAAATTCTGTAAATAATTTCTTCAAGAACTCTCAGTGATGTGAATTATAATGGCATAACTCATTTATATTGATATTTTAGTTACAAAATCAATAGCATCTAAATAAGTGCTTTTTAAGAAAATTGGTAAACAAAGTAATATTTTGAACTCCACATTTTATTCTCACCATTAATTTATGAAGAGAAGTTTTTTTTTAAATATTTTCCTATTAGGAAAAGGTTAGAAATTAGTTTTTATTAAAATGGTATGCCATTTTTTTCTATTTGAGCATAATTCATTTTACTTTGTGTTAAAATTATGAGGTGCATTATGACATGAAATTTCACTGAGTTATAACTGGATGAAGCAGGAAGAGGATAGATACAAAGTCAAGTTAGAGACAGAGGCTCATCTCATGCCTCTTAAAAACTTTGCCTTTCCCTCCATCTCACAGGATGTGAAATCTGAAACTGGACCCTCACCTTCCCATCAAAGATGCAATTCAGATCACACTCAGATTCCTAATGTGACTTAATTTTTCAAAATTGTAATACTTACAGATAAAATTCTGGAGAACCATCAAGAAAGGTCAAGTTCATTTGCTCAAATACAATGCAAGTAATACTGGATAGAGCATAGAAGAATATTGTTTACTGCACAGAAGAAGGATGCTGTATAATAAATTGAGCACATCTCAAGTAGACCCTCAAAATCTCTCTTGGTTCATAATGACAGAGACTAGAAAGAACAATATGGCTAATCCTAGGGTCAAATGTCTATCTTAATTGTGTTAGGGCACACAGAAGTAGACCTCCTCCCTGTAAAAGGACTCATAGCTTGGTCTTGGAACATCCTAGCTCTACTACTTACCAGCTGTTGACTCTGGGCAAATTCATTTACCTCTCTGAACTCCAATGTCTTTTTTGTAAAATGGTGATGATATTAAATTATGACAGTATATCTTTTTAAAATCCTAAGGATTTCGCAGTCCAAGTGCAGTAGACATTTTATCCCTCATGATTACCTGATAAGGTACGATCAATGCCATCAACCAAAGACCACCAGGAGGCATATCCACGGAATGAAATGAAGGAGAAAACTCACCAGTGGAAATTGTAAGGCATCTCAGTAAAAAGGTATTAGAATCAAAGAAATAAAATCAGTAAAAGTTATATGTCAAGAGAATTATTTCAAGAAATTAGTTTATGCAACTAAGTAGTTAGACTAAGCAGATCCAAAATCCATAGGGCAGGCAATTGTCAGGAAGCAAACCAAACTCAGCACAGGGAATTTCTTCTTCCTCAAATAGTCTCAGTTCTCTCATAAGGCTTGTTGACTGACTGGATTTGGCTCAGCCACTTTATCTAAGATAATCTCTCTCATTTAATTTCAATAGATAATGGAATTAATCACATCTCCAAAATAACGTCACAATAACACCAACATTGATGTTTGAATAACTAGGGGCTATAACCTAGACATATAAAACTGAGCATTAAACTATCATAGGGCTTGGGCTTCTGTTAGGTGATTTTGAGGAGGATTTAAGGTGTGACTTTGCTCTTAACTGGATTCTGACAGAAAGTCAAGGAAGGGAAAGGATAATTTTATTTTATCTTAATAAATTTTACCTTAGAGGGAGACAAGACCACAGAGAGACTAAAGCTGTAATTTGCTTGGTCATTTTGTGATTGGGGCAATGTTCATGTTTTGTCTGTGTTCAGACATGATTACTGAGTGGACTTGTTTTCTGTCTTCATCTACTGTGGTCACAAGAAAGCTAATACTAATGTTCTTTGAAATTGCTTATGTTCAACAGGAGAACACCAAAACCTAGCAGTGAGTTCTATCCTACCTCTTAGCACTACTAATGCCTAGTGAATTGCATCCAGGCAGCTCCCATATGTTGGAACATTTTCTGTTTTAATCTCTGTAACTGGGAGGTAAGAGGAATGGCTGATAAATTCAGCAGAGTCAGAGAGATTCATTATAAATCATCATTAACTTTTGGCCTCCATAAGATACAGGAAAATGCATTCTTATGGGGAAAAAAAGTCTCCCTCTAGTGATTGTCTTTGACTTTACCTCAACTCCTAGTACCTCAAAATATCTGAAATACTAAGGTGGCAGGATCACAAATATTTTTAAAACCCAGCAGCTTAAAGGAAGGAAAACAATTTTCTAAGCCACAGAAATTCCCCTCATTCTACCCTCATCATTAAGCATGACATTCTTAAATTTGAAAAACATTCTTTAATTAAGATAGCTAAAGATTTTTTTTTTTGTATAATCAATGGCCCTAAATTTCCTGTAACATGGTCAAGCAACACCAAGACACAGAACACAAAAGTGACTCAAGGGAAGGGAAAAAGTCTGGATTAAAAAAAAACACAAGGCTAGAGGAGTGACTCAAGTGGTAGCGCCCCTGCCTAGCAAACATGAGGCCCTGAGTTCAAACTTCAGTACTACAAATAGATATATGTAGATAGATAGATAGATCTCTCTATATATCTATTGCACAGTTACTGTAGGCAGCATCACACGACATTATAATCCTTTTTATTGTTCTGGTTAAAAACACCTAGAACTTTTGAGAGCAAGAGAATTTATCCAGCTGGGTTTATACAAGTAGAAAAGGCTCAGGTATTACTTGGTTACCACTAGCAGAGATCCCTGGGTAGATAGTCAACTCAAGATTTGGAGAATTTTATATACATTATGAAAGCAAAAGAAAAGACAGCTAACCCTTGTATGAAAGCTAGAGAAAGCAGAGTGCAGAAAAGAGGGACCATGAGGAAGAAAAAACAATTCAGGAGAGAATTCCTGGAGATCGTAACCCAGATACTGTATTATAGATGTCCTCATGTATCTATTAAATTGCTCTGCAATTACCACCCCTCTTTCCACTAGCAAACATATAACAAGAGAGAAGATTCTGACTTGGAAGCCTCCCTCTGTTCACATAGCCTTCTCTTGGGTCCACTTTGAATGGAGGCTGCATTAGAACTCAGGGATTCCCTTTTCCTTCCAGGCCTCTTAACACAAACTGTGCAACTGACAACCAAGGCGTCATCATAAGGCATTTTTCTGATTGGCCAAAGCCCGGGCTGGCAGGGCTTGGTTTGGGTCTTTAGATTTCCTTGGCTCAGTCCTCACAATTGCTCTACAATCAGAACAGCAACTACTGAGACCACTTTGAGAAAAGGATGATCCTAAACAAAGCTCTGATCCTGGGAGTCCTTGCAGTGACCACCATGATGAGCCTCTGTGGAGGAGAAGACATTGTGGGTGAGTACACAGCTGCTCCCTGAGGGAGAGAGAGAGAGAGAGAGAGAGAGAGAGAGAGAGAGATTGACTTTCTCCTGGATTTTCTTAATATTAATGGATCAAAAATTATATTGATCTTCCTTCAGGAAACCAGAGCTCAACTCCCTCTCTCAGGTAGCTGTGCCACTCAGTGCACAGTTCACCAAGCACATGATTCTGCTTCTAAGATTAAATGCAGTGACATTCAGCCTGGAGGCCTCTGTGACATTCAGTCACAGCTGTCTCAAAGATTAGGGATGAATGAACTACTCTTTATTACTAATAACTTATGAGATGTTACTCTCAAATTTCTCTGAACAACTTTTGAAGCTTTTTCTCTATATCTCTTGAAGTATATCTTGGAGAAACCAGAAGGGGAACAGACAAACTTGGAGAACATAACATTGAGATGGAGTAGTTCAGAAGGTCAGAAAAACAAATATCACGTTTTCACTTATTTGCAGAATCTAAACCTAAAAAGAATAATAATATATTGTCAAAGGGGAACTGTTAGGAAGACCACCAGGAGGGGGAAGGGAAAGGAGAAAGTGATAGGGCTGAATGTGATCAAGGTACATTACATATAAGTTTGAAAATAAGTTTTTATGAAATAATAAAAACTGTTTAAAGGGGGGAGAAGAAAGAGGGATAAGAAAGAGTAAGAGGATGAATTTAATCAAAGTACATTATATGCATGTATAAAAAAATCACAAAGAAACCCTTTTGCACAAATAATTCATGTTAATAAAAAATATCTTGGCTGGGTGTGGTGGCTCATGCCTGTAATCTAAGCTACTCAGGAGGGGAAGATCGCAATTTGAACCAGCCCAAGCAAAAAATTCACCCCAACACCCTACCTCAACCAATAAAAAGCTGGAAGTAGTGGTTTGTGCCTATCATTCCAGCTACGCAAGAGGCATAAATAGAGGATTGCAGTCCATGCTGGTCTGGACCAAAACACGAGACCTTCATCAGAAAAAATAACTAAAAGACAGAACAGGGACTGGACGCATGGCTCAAGTGGTAAAGCACCCTGAGTTCAAACTCCAGTACCACAAAAAAGGAAGGAGGGAAGAAAGGAAGGAGGGAGGGAGGGAGAGGGAGGGAGAGAAGGAACGAAAAATATGTTGATGAGAAGACGTAACTAAAATGTTGGTTACTAAGTGGAAACCTTCAAAATGATGACGAGGTCTCCAGGAAATCCTGAAAAATAACTTTATTTCAAGGAGAAAAACAGATTCCTACAAAAAGCAGGCAATATGAAAGGTACTTGTGTGGGACGTGAGACTATAAGCTGTTGATATTTTCATCACAGAACTCACCACAGTGTATTGTACTTGCTCCTTTACTTACTGATTCTTCCACTATTTGGTGAGCTCCATGACAGCAGAGGCCACAATTGAGCAGTGCTTTACTCCTCATCCCACCAATTGACAGGTGTTGATGCTCAGTAAATGAGGAAGGAGAGAAAGATGAAATACTAAAAATCTTGTACACATCTTGGCAAAAATGTCCAGTTACTCATTTGGATGGAATCATACTCAGCTGTCTGCCATTCCACTTTGGCATTCTCAGACATGTTTACTGTCCATTTGAGGAAAAGGTTTTAATTTAAATTGAGTTTGCATGTGAATCTAAGTGTGGAATCAGAAGAACATGAGAGGTTTAGTAAGTTACTTCATTTAAAAAAAAGATGGGGAATGACAGAAATTCAAAAACTAATAAAGCTTCTAGTTTTTTTATTCCAGAAGAAATCAGACACTCTAGTCTAAGGATCCCTTCTGTTAACAAAACAGAGACATTAGACACATTATTTTTTAAGTATTTTGTGAGGTTGTCATTGTTCCTTTTACAGTTCTTATAACCTGTGTTAGGAAAAAATCTTAAAATGATTAGATTCTATATGATTTTCCTTTTTAAAAAATGGAAGAATACCTCTGTGTAAAAAAAAAAAAAACTTCCTGTTCTAGGACTGGAAGTGTGGCTTAAGTGGTAGAGCACTTGCCCAGCAAGCCGAGGCCCAAGGGAAAAGGAAGCATAACCAATTTGTTATTAACCTGATGGAAGAATTAAGTGAGAGATAAAACTTACAAAGCAGAGGGAAGTAAGCTGAATCTTTGAGAAGAAAGCTAAATGCTACAAAGATTTAATTATTCCTTCTTTCATTTAATTACATTATTTATCTTAAGCCTATGATATACCAGGCACTGAGTAAAGCACTCAGAGAATAATAGATATTAGACATGTGACATTCTGTCCTCATGGAGCCCACCTCAGACTAGATTATCACTGGACAACTCCAAGACCAAGTGGGCAAGGAAGCAGATAATGAGAATTTTGCCCAGCAATTGTGCCAAAGATAAAGCCCATGGTATTTGAAAAGCCAGGGTTTTTTGGGGTTTTTTTCTGTCACTTTGTTTAATTAAGTTATTTTCTTCCCTGTTTTCCACCTTTCTGCTTTTGCCTCATCAGCTGACCATGTTGCCTCCTATGGCATAAACGTCTACCAATCTTATGAGTCCTCTGGCCAATATACCCATGAATTTGATGGAGACGAGGAGTTCTATGTAAACCTGCAGAAGAAGGAGACCGTCTGGCGGCTGCCTCTATTTAGCACATTTGTACGATTTGACCCTCAAGGTGCACTAAGAAACATAGCTATCTCAAAACACAACTTGGACATCCTAATTAAACGCTCCAATTCTACCCCAGCTATCAATGGTATGTGTCCACCATCTTGCTTCTGTTTATTGAGTCTATCCCTTCATCCCAAGCCTCACTCCCTTCTTCCTGGTGATAGTTACACTTCACTGCTCTATGAAACTCTTTCCTTTCCAAGGAGTCCCCAATCTCCTTGTTTAACTCTCATCCCCTCTCATCTTATAAATCACATATGTCCATATAATACAAAGATCTTTACTCCCATAACACATTTTTTGAATCTTTCAAGTAGGGCTCCACAGATACATTACCTTAATATTGCAAGTCTGTGGAGAGTAGGGTATAGGGATAAAGTGGAAGCAATGTATGAGTAGGTCACAAGCAGAAGGAAAACAGGGCTCTTTGACCATCATGTAGGTAAATTTTGGTGGGAAGGCCCCTTCACAATGCACTGCAAAATTTCAGGGTAGGACAATCCTATTAGCAATTAACTCAGGGATGTTTGCTTTCTATAGAGGTTCCTGGAGTTGCTGTGTTTCCCAAGTCTCCTGTGGTGCTGGGTCATCCCAACACCCTCATCTGTGTTGTGGACAACATCTTTCCTCCTGTGATCAACATCACATGGCTGAGCAATGGGCATTTGGTCACAGAAGGGGTTTCTGAGACCAGCTTCCTCTCCAAGAGTGATCATTCCTTCTTCAAGATTGCTTACCTCACCTTCCTCCCCTCTGATGATGACATCTATGACTGCAAGGTGGAGCACTGGGGCCTGGACGAGCCACTTCTGAAACACTGGGGTATGTATGAGTCCCACCCCGTTATGGTACCTTTTTGCTCTCTGACAAGTCTAAAAGATCCTTTCTTTTTGCTTCTAGTGCTCTTGCCAAATTTGTTCTCTGCTCTTAAAGGGCTTATTATAATAGACTTTTTGCTCCTCCCTAAGCCCAGTATCCCAAATTTTTCAGAATCAAGTTGGTTGCACCAACCCAATCCCATCTTGCAAACATGCATGTATTCTGTGTTCTATCCCCAAACAACTTCATTTTCACAGAACCTGAGATTCCAGTCCCTATGTCAGAGCTGACAGAGACTGTGGTCTGCGCCCTAGGGTTAGCTGTGGGTCTCGTGGGCATCATAGTGGGCACCCTCTTCATTATTCAAGGCCTGCGCTCAGGCGGTGCTTCCAGACACCTGGGACCTTTATGAGTCCACTACAAGGGAAGGTAAGAATTTGTATTTGTCACAGCTGAAGTCACGGTAGAGGGGGAAGGGAAGGAAGACACAAATGTGGTTGAGATGTTGCAGGAGAAATGCAAAGTATCATGATAACCGCACAGGGGCTCTCAGGACCACTGATTTCTTGTCTGTTTCGTTGCAGGTCCATTGCCCATCTGGGAGCAGAACAGTGAAAGTGCTAGATGACCTAGCACTATCTTCTGGCCTAGTTCATCGTATTCTTTTCTTCTCCAGATGTCTTTCCTCTTTCCTTTCCCCAGACACCTGCTTTATCCTGTCAGAACACATGTTCCCTTAGAATTCTCCCTCTGACCTCCAGATTTTTTCTTTTTTCAAATGTTACCTATTATGGAATTCCTAATCTACCCAACTACATAATCCCTCAGTGAACCTGGCCCAGTGTCTTCATGGAAGCAATAAATCACCTCTTATGAAGTCTTTATTGATTTTGTTCCTATCTTTCTTCCAGGGGCTTCCTAAGACTATGGCTAAGAATAAGAGATCCTTAAGTTTCAGGAGCTTATAACCTCATTTCTCAGATCATGTTTGATGCCCAGCAACACTGTATCAACTGAGTATAACCTGATAATATTTCAATATCTTAGACAAGGTTTGTGTTTTTCTCTTCCTATTTTTTCACCCTTGAGCTGTCTCCAATTCAGGCTTCGATGAAGGTAGTGTATTTCCTCTGTCCTTGGTGGGGATTTGCTATAGCAGATATACAAAAAACACAAGAAATATCCCTGTACTCATTTTTAATATAGCTTTTTAAAATGATGACAGAGAAATTAGGAGAACATTGAATTCCTGAAGTGCCAAAAGTAAAAATTTTGGTATCAAAAGTCAAAATTGTTCTCAAAATTTTAAATTTGTGAAGAATAAATTATGACAATAGAAGCTTTTCTATCACCTCCTCATGATGAAAAGATAAGAATTTTCAAGGCAGGAAAAGAAATAGAAGTCTATTAGAAAATTAGAAGGAGACAATAATGTGGATATCTGAACAGAAACAAATACATGTTCTGTACTTAAGGTTAGTGACAATGGGAAAAGGATGGGGGTAGACCTATTTAGAGGTTCTGTAATAAAAATATAGTCTCACCTCCTAAAAAAAAGCCTGTTAGATAACCACAGATATTTTCCTGCACCACAGGGGCATGCTGGAGACAGGGGAGTGAATATGGCTTCAGGATGTCTCTAGACAGAAAAGCCTAAGTCAGGATCACTGAATCCCTTATGCATCCCTGTGTGCTCAGAGCAAGAACACACCCCCATATCTCTAGCTCTGTGCCCTTACTCCTCCTAGCTAAGGAAAACATGAGCCTGGGAGACAGAAATACTAGCAGGGACAATGCAGCTGAAATAATGTACCAGCAGCCATGGGTTACTGTGTCCTTTACTGGATTGTCTCTCTTCCAGAGAAAATGAGTCAACAGATGGGATTTTCTGGCTTTCCTGAGTATGTCCAATACCTCACTCTTGAATGTCACCACACATGGTGACATTTTGCCCTTTGAAATTGTTTTAGGCACGTAACCTCACTTTGCAATTCCTGGGTTCATGCTTTAGATCTAGGACAACATTATGGAGCTATTATAAAATCTGTGAGGATGATTCTGTCCATGCCATCCACATCAATGAGCCTCAAATGTACTTGAGAAAAATTAAAGACATTAACACAATAACTAAATCCAAATAACCTAACTCCAAATCCAGAACTCAGCATTTTATAGCTAGTATTTTAAACTTTATAGTACTAATACTGGGCAAAGTAGCTTACATTTCTGAACTCTATTGCAATCATCTCCAAAATTCAAATAATCTTTATATATAGGCAATGTCTTACACATAGTACACAAACATTAAAGAAAACATGGCTAGGCAGGCATTTTACCACTTCAGCCACACCTCCAGCCCAATGACCCACAGGTTTTAGTCAATGTATGTTATATGCAACAAGTCTTTATGTATATTTACTTTGCAGAAGAGGAATGGAAGATTCAAGGACAAAAAGCTACCTAAGAAGGAGAAGTAAAAGAATAATTAAAATTTCAGACTAATAATTAGTAAATATGGAGAATCTGAACCAGTAGTGATCATGAAAATGTGTATCACAGAGTGCAGAGAATTTTGGGGCAGTGAAACAACTGTTTGATACTATAAAGATAACTACAGGTGATACTTTTGTCCAAACTCACAGAATATACAACACCAAAAGTGAACCATGTGCCTTATCTCAACCAGCAAAAACCCTTGTTCCTTCCTATTATTGCTTATACTCTCTCTACAACAAAATTAGAAATAAGGGCAAAATAGTTTCTGCTGGGTATTGAGGGGGGGAGAGGGAGGGGGTGGAGTGGGTGGTAAGGGAGGGGGTGGGGGCAGGGGGGGAGAAATGAACCAAGCCTTGTATGCACATATGAATAATAAAAGAAAAATGAAAAAAAAATAATAATTCAATGTAAACTATGGACTTAGAGTGATAATGATGCATTAATGTAGGTTGGTCAATTGTAACAAATACATCACTCTGGTGGGCTATGTTAAAAACATATGCGTGTAGTGGGGGGAGTATAGGAAATCTCTGTACTTTCTTGCTCAGTTTTCCCAGGAATCTAAAGCAAAGTTATTTTTTAAAAAGAAAAGACAAAATCAGCAATTATCAGATATGTAAAATAAAGTATTTGGCATAAAATTTGTAGGTTACCTAAAAGTGCACAAATGTGCTGAGAAATTTTTGAGAATAGATTTCTAATAAATTTTATATGGATTTCAATGATTCATAAGGCAAGAACCCAGCATTTCAGAGGTACATTTATGTGTGTCAAAGTGTTTGTGTGTGCGTGTGTGTATGTGTGTGTGATGTAATAGTTTTATTTAATGGCATTATGATGAAATTCATGCAGAAATATGCAAACACTAAATTTTTTGAACATTGTCTGGGATTCCCAGAAAGGAAGAATCTTTGGATAATACTGATTATCACTCTGAGTCATTAATTATGAAATTTTATAGTGACTACAGGAAAATTACTTGCCTCCTACATAAGAGCATTGACAAAGAAAGGTAGTTTCTACAGAGATGTGATCACTCACATCTCTTTTAGAGAAGCAGCACACTTTTAGATGTTTATCTCATGCTCCATCAGAAGCAGAGAAACAAATCTAAACCCTGGCAAATACTATCCATGTCCAATTTTTAAAGTTAATTCCTGAATTCTTATGCAGAGTTCTTACTTTATAGGCACCTACTACAGCAACTCAGTTGAATATATTTAGAAAGTGTTTTGAATTCTAATTTGTAATAAGAAAAGATGTGTTCATTTTTGTAAAACAATTCTATAGCTTACTGCTTTAATGTTTTTTAAATAAAATTAATCCAATATACTGTACATCTAAATGTGTACACATTTTTCAAGTATAATTTTTGGATACTTACTTTGTAAAGCAAAAAATTGTTCAGATTATTTTGATCCTTTTTTTTCTTTTTGGGAGGGATGATGGAGTTTGAACTCAGGGCTTTGGGCTTGCTAGGCAGACCCTCCACCACTGGAGGCAAGCCTCAGGTAACTGCTACCTAGCAATGAGACTTTAAAGACGTAGTTTTAGTCTGTTCATCTGCAATGTTTTTTTACCAGTAAGTTAACATGGTTCCAAAATTTAAAAGCCTTGGTTTTAAAACGAATGTAGAAGTGTTAAAATGTGTGTAGTTGTGCAAACATTTTGATGTTCTTTTCTGCATTGCTATCCTTTAAAATTCTTATTAAAAATGGAAACAATGCTAGGAATCTCCCTGTATAGCTATCCTTCTCTCAACTAGCAAAAATGCTTTGTCTTTCTTATTATTGTTTATAGTCTCTCGTCAACAAAATTAGAGATAAGGGCAGAACAGGTTCTGCCTGAAAGCGAGGTGGGGGATGGGGAAGGGGGGCAGGAGGGGGGAGAAATGGCCTAAACAATGTATGTACATATGAATAAACAAGAAAAAAAAAACAGATCAACTGCTAAAAAAATTTTATTAACACTTTAAAAAGAAATATATAAATATTGCCCTAGTCAGACTTTTTCTCCATGAAGTACAGTGGAAAGCAAACTCAGTGGAACTTGCTTTTTATCAGCAGTGTGTATTCATAAAGATTTTTATATAATTTTTAAATAGCAGAGTTAAAATTAACTCTAAAAATTAAGAGCAAATGTATCTTTTTATCAGATAAAAGTTAAAAATGGAGTCATCACTTGATATTATTGAAAACAAAGTTGTAAATTAGTCTTCATGATTTTACATTATTTTACCCTAAAATTATTTGAATTATTTCAGATTATGTGCCTAAATTATGAATTTATTAATCTTTAATGGTCTATTTTAAGTTTATATAATTTAAAAGTCACAAAAAAATCATTTCAGGTTTGGACTTTATATCTTTATATACAAATTAGTGATGGGTAGAATTTAATATTTTACTACAAATAAAGCACTTCACCTGCATGTGGCACATAGTAAGCAGTCAATAGATGTCAACAATTGGTGTTATTGTCATTTTCTGGAGCCAAAGTCACAGGTTCCATGGTAAGTATCATCACAGAGGTCAGCCAACAAAATTCAGAGGGTGGGAAGTTCTACTAGATAAATAGTTTTTTCAGCAAATAATTTGCAAGGGAAAAATGAAGAAAACAGAAACCCCACTTTAAGAAAAAGACAAAAGAAATATATCACTCAAATGCTGGAGTTTATTGTGTTTGGATTTATATTCAAACAAAACAAGTTCAGTGTGGTGGGGAATGCCTGAAATCCTAGCACTTTGGAGGATGAGGTAGGAGGGTTGTGAGTTCCAGGCCAGCCTTGGCTATACAGTGAGACCTTGTCTCAAAAAAAATTGTTAAAAAATTATAGAGGCAATTAGAAAATTTGACACTGATGATTACTAAGGAATTATTATCTAATTTTAGTTGTGGTAATGGCATTGCTATTATATTTTTTAAAGTTCATATTTTAGACATATTTATGAATAAAATAACATAATACCTGGGAGTATCTTCATACTAATCCAGTGTGAACATTAGGATTCAGTGAGTTGGTTTTCAAAATTGCCAACAAATTGATTGTTGTTAATGCTGGACTATTTGTATCTGGTATTCTGTCTCTGCTAGTGAAAAAAAATATAGGCAAAGAATAAATGCTTGAATTTATGTTAGTTTTAAAGAACTTTTCTCATTTTTTCACCCTTGGGAAACCTTAAATATCCAAATCCTGCATAGACAGATGTAGGAACCTCTCAGAAAAGTAACCCTAAAGAATATATATGCAACAATGATTAGTGGCAAAAGAAAGTAAAGTAATGCTAAGTTTATTATTAACTGGACTGGACCCTAAACTTTGTTTTTATGAATAATGCAAAAATGGTCATTGGGTATCAATGCTATGACATGTACCATAGG